TAGGGAATGCATAGTGATAGGGTATGTAAAAAACCAGAAAACCCTATTCCATGGTGCCTCATGAGAGCTGGCATCATATTACATGTTTGAGAAATAAGTATCAAGTGTGACCCTCCATAGTTCTAAATGGCGACACTGCTATTTGCCAAGGCACTGCAGATGACGGTCATCAGCCAGAAGGAAAATACTGGATTGCTACAATGCAATTTGTGGGAATCCATTGGTTCTCCATAATAGAACCCAGATGCYTTTGGCAGTTGTCAAATGAATACTCTTAACAGCAGCAGGGGTTGCTTTTTTTCATTTTCTCCTTTTCTGTTTAAAAATGACTTTTGCTGCCTGGACTATAATGTACTAGGTAGCCATCACTACCTCTATACTAGGAAGTATGCAGATATCAAATAAGGAGAATAAAAGAATATTTTTCTACTTTATAATGATTTTTCTAGCCTACAAAATATCTTATTTGCCAGAGTCAGCAACCCAGTCCTACTTAGAACAGAACTCAGAATGAGGGAGTGAAAATGACCACTGATGCCCAGATGGGTGCAGCGAGGTCCATGGGCTTAAGGGCACTCACTTCACAGACTCAGCACCCTGCCAAGCCCTCCCTTGCACTTAGTAACCCTTACTTCAGGACATTTTAAATCAAGACTTGGTATCTGGTTTCTAAAATCACAAAACAGAAAATGGCTGGCATAATGACAAAAATATGAATTGGCAGTTGAGGGGAAGAGAAAAGGAAGAGAAATGAAAAAAAATAAACATCTAAAATAGCACAGCAGTTGGACGCTATTTAATATCAACTCAAAATGGATCATTACAATTCATTAACAGGCTTTGTTCACTAATCATGAACCTTGGAGTTTCATAATTATGGCTCCACCTTTAATACTAACTGCAATTACCCTGAGTTTTCAACAAAGATTGAACACGTTTTTTTTTTTTTTTTAAAGAATCCAAATGAAACACTGGTATAATCACCATCAAGCTAAAAATACTGCAGATATCATGTTTAGTGAACCAAATCTCCCCTGCTTGTTTTCCTCATTAGGGAGTTAAATAAGTCTGCAGCATCTATTGATTCTATATTTATATAAGAGTAGTGTTTACTTTTTRAAAGTGGACTGACTGTGGAGCCAATTAAACTGCACTGCCCATGGAGTACATCTCACAGGCTGGGAGCCCAGAACATCTTTTCTTGGCTCCCAGAGTAAATCTCAAATGGCACTAGRGCTTTACCTTCACTGACTCACATTCTCTGCAGCTTTTCTTTTCATGACTCTGTGCCATTGTTTTTGCTTGGGAATTTTGGTCAAATTGCATAGGAATTCTGGTTGGCATACCACTAGAGTTATCCCCATTGGTGGCATGCAATGACTAGTCTTTTTTTTATTTTTAATGGTTTGACCACTTGGTGACCTGTCAGGTAGAAATGGAATCTATCTTTCTTAAGGTAAGAGATGAYAAAGCATTTGTTTGTTGCTTTTGTTGTTTGGAACTTGTTTGGTTTCTATTTGTGTCCCAGATCAGAAAAATAATTTGTTCCCAACGGAAAAGCAACCAACCTTTTGAGAGCTGCAGGAGTGACATTTGTTTCAGTGTTTACTTTTAAGGTATGGTTGAAGCTGTAGAACTTACGCGACAGTCTTTGAGGAAAAAAAAAATCACTGCGTTTGTGTAAATATTTTCCTTCCTCCTGAGGATAATAATAAATTATAGAATAGCTCTGCTGCTCTGACTGGTTTCTAAAAATTTACAAGGATTTAAACAATTCCAACATGCCCCAAAATTCCAAAAAAATAAAGGAAAATTCTCATTCTTTAAATATTTTTAAGGAAAAGACCTTTCTTATTAAAACTGATTGACAACCTTTCTTTTTTTCCCATTAAAAAATAAGTTATATATAAAATAAATCCTTACACAAATCAGACTGACTCGGTAACTTGGTTCAAAAAAGAATTACACACTACACATCTTTTCTTTGTTTAATCTGTGTATAATTAATCCACGTGTAATCTCATCTTAAAAACATTTGGAACTTGTTTTAATACGAAAAGACTAGTATATCTGAACTTCTAAAATGCCTTATCTTAGTTTACTAAAAATATAAGCTCTCAAGCAACCAAAATCTTATATTATTTAAGTGAAGAAATCTCCTCTAATTAATATTTGATTTTGCTTCCCCCCCCAAATCAGACAGATATCTTTTTGATATCTTATATCTAAACTATCTTCAAGTTTTATTAAATACTCTATATAATCATCTGTATAAGTTTTGGGTTTTAACCTTACAAAAGGAAAGCTGCTATAAATGATTAAGTTTGTTTACAATAGTTTTAAACTGTCCAACATAGGGACATATATGAAATAAAATGAGACATTCATCGTTCCCTAAGATAATTCCATACAGGTAAAATACCATTATTATTAATATTATTAAAAAGTGCTCAAAATTATGTACATGTGTTACAGAAATGTTCTGCATAGACATTAGTGTTCTCACTGTAATATGCCCTTACATTCAGGGGAAACACTGATTAAACAAGACATTAATCTTATATCCTGATAAAGAATCTGAGCTCTCCACGCTGATACTATTTGTTAAATAGCCATAAATTCACCAGTGCTATTTGTTCTTACTTTCACCRCGTGGTCTCAGTGTCCTCTGGAGTTTGCCTGAAGACTGTGCCTAAATTGTGGGCTAGAATGTGCCTTCTACAAAGACAGTTTCAGAGCCTCACAGATAGGACTTTATCAAGTCCTCCTGACATTTCAGAGAACAGACCTGTGGGGAGAAGGTGCTGAGCTGACCTGGCCTTGACTAGAATGAGTTCTAGGAAGCTAAATCAGATTTTTAGAACTATTTTTAGTTCATAAATAGATGATTTAATGAAATCAACACAGTGGCCCAAATTGCAGTTAAATAAGAATTAATTACATAGGACTACTTGAACTGTTAATGGAAATCAAATTTCTAATGTGGATATGTGTTTTGGAGTATTATTGGTATTATTTTGAATCTTTTGTTGTAATGGGGAAACCCTCTAGCATTCATCTTCATCTATCTCCAACCTTTAATTTAGTTGACTCTGATTGGCAAACTAAATGAAATATTCTTTTTAGTGGGTAGTTTGTTCTCATTGACCCCTTAGAATTCAGGAACAAATATTTTTGAGGCACTTTACTTTTCAATGGCCATATCACTTTACTTTTCAATGGCACAAACTCAATAATAAACAGTCCTTCTTTTCTAAGACAAATAACTATATGTACATGGAGTGTCACCTTAAAAAAAAAAAGCCTCATTTCATCAAGTATGACAAGCCCAATACTAAGGAAAAGGGATTATTAGAACTTAGTATTTGGAACAATATCCACAAAACTCTCACAAAAAGTTAAATCTGTTTATGACTTAGAGGGTCCCAACCTCATAGTCAGTAAGAATGGTCACTCTGGGTTGTCAAGAACCTTAGCATATTTGGAAAATCTAGAGGTAAGAGAGATTTGCTAACATTTAAAGATTCTAAAGATTTTTTAAAGATTCTAAAACCCAATGTAGACACATTTCTTGAGTTTTGCTTTCTGTCCTTGTAATAGAATACTTAAGAAGATTTAAGGAAGATTTCTAGAGTGATAGAATCCATTGAAAATGTTCTCCCTCACTCCTTGATAAATTATCAAATGGAGTTATTTTTCTGGCTTTATTAATAATAGTTGATCAGCACAGTATATATCAGCTGTCAATTTATAAGAAAGTATTTATATGCTAATTAAAACTTCTGAATTTACATCAAGGAATCAAAGCTGCAAAACAATGCCTTTTGTGACTATGTATAATCTCTGGAGATTACTTATTATTACAATGGGAGCTATCATACCAGAGCCTGAATAACTGATTCACCTAAGGAATATCTAATTCTCTAGGGGTATGTATGTTTGTTTTATTCACTACTGTTAGTTGGGATATTTGAAAGTTCCTTAAAAATAGACCTTAACTTATCAAGAACTTCAAGTAATAGATATGATTCTCATTCTAAAATGTCCAACAAATTTTGCCCAGTATAGATGTCAATCATTTCTGCCCATTATAATCCAAGGATTACCATTTTATTGTACTTTAGAGTGTTAATGAGTTTGGGATGTGATTCAAACTTACCTTACTTTAATAATCCTATACTTTTGTAAAACAGATTTACCATCTCATAGCTTCTCTCATTAAGGAAATCATTAATGATTAATAAAGCAAAATGATCTCTGACATGTATTCATTTTAAGAGGAAAATATATGCTTAACAAAGAGTGGAAAAATACCATTGTTTGTTCTCATTGATTAGTGGGATGCTCAAGGGACATTTCCTCTAGTCTTCTTATTTTCAATATTAACCACTTTAAGTATACATTCATTTTAAATGATAAAGGATAACTCAATAGATTTTGTGAGTATGTGTTATGGAGAGTCACTGTGTGTGCTCAGAAACAAGGCTGGAGAATATGGGGTACATAATGTGCAGGAAATGCTGAGCACCATGACACACCCTTCAACTTTCTGGACAACTTGCCACAAAGTTCTAGACAACTTGCCAAATTCACTGCCTAATTCCTGATGACTCATGATTCCACCTTCTACATCTATCATAATCATACACCTGCAGATCTAACAATATAAATAATTCAAATACGAATTCCCTCAGTCTTAAAATTTTATACGATGCAAGAAATTTGGTAAAACTCACAACTACCGTTTGTTGGTAACTATACCAAATGTATAGTTACAAGGATTCTGAAGAGCCACTGAATTGATATTTAGGCTCCTACAGGCCTTCAAAATACCTACACATGCCTAACAATAGTGTCCTGGGAAAAGTAGAGATAGTGGGAGAGTCTAGGAAGTGACAGCAGTGGCTTGTACATGTGATATTAATCCTACATCCCCACGTCATTCAAGGCTTAACTTTAGATTCTGATCAATGAAACAGTGAGGCAAACAGAAAGATTACCAATCGCTCCATCTCCTGCTCCCTCAATCTTTCCTCCCTCTGTCGCCGATGATAATCCATGAGGTCATCGCGTCCTGAAATGGAGCTGATACTGCTTTTCCTTTCCCGAAGGACAGGCTGGGGGGTCCCTGAGGCCTGTCTGAGGCTGTCCAACTCAGTGTCATCGAAGTCCACAGAGCCACAAGAGAAGTTCCTCCTGGCCACGAACACTCTGTCTATTTCCACAGTAGGAAATGAATGGCTTGGGCTGGTCCCCGAGAATAGAGCCCTGTCAAAGTCATCAGAGGCACAGGAGGAGGTGGAGGCCAGAAGCATCTTCCGAGCCACCCGAGGACTGGCAGGTACACTGAGGGTGGAACTTGCATAAGGAACGCCCTCAGAGGCAGAGGTTTTATAAGGTAAAGCCCCTGAGCTTAGAGAGGAAAAATTAAGGTAATTGTCATTGTCTATCACGCTATGAGGTAGATCCTTTTCCCCCGGTGGTCTGGTTCGTTTGGAATTGCCGAGAGAATTTCTTGGAGGCAAGCTGAGAGGYGTCAGCTGGTTCTCTGTGGCTTTGTACAACCTGGGAAGCGATCTGCTGTAGGCTCCCATGTGGCTTAGGCTGCTGCCTGAATACTTCCTAGTTCTTAAACTGACATTTTCAGATGCAGRTTCCTTGTGTCGGGTTAACTTGGGCTGAAGTGCCAGGTTGTCCTGAATGTTCATTTTCCTGGCTTGCTTTGGGCTTGAAGGCATGCTAGCTGCCCCAGATCTGCTGATGGGAGGGGGCCCACTGTCATTCAGGGAACCACCATTCCACATGGCCAGGAGTGAGCCAGATGCCTTTCGTCCTTCCAGTCCTCCAAAAAAGTAGACATTATCATGGGATTTATTCCTAGAGCTGTATTTAGAATAGGGAGGTTTCTCTGAAAGTCTCGAGGACCTTTCAGTGTCCCGGCCAGTATAATGCTCAAAATCTGCCCTTCCAAGTGGATAGCCACTGAGGGAGTGAGTAGTGCTAAGGACGGGAGTGGGAGGCTTCATGGACATACTCTTGTCGGTTTCATCAGAGAATTGCTTGCTCCCCTGGATTTTGGTCAAGGAGGGGCTGCTCCTGACATTGGTGCCCAAAGGAGAAGGGCTCCTCTTAGCAGGCACGGGTTGTGAGAGGGTTAAATATGAACCAGAATAGTCTCCATTGGCTTTAAATTTCAGGCTGGAAGAATATTTTTTGGGGCTTAGGCTCTCCATCATATTTTGGGAATCTGTGTCCAGGGATTGCACTACAAATCCTTCCTCGGTGCTACCATTTTGTAAATCCAACTGCTTTTGCATGTGGCTACACTCTTCCATAATCTCGCTGGATTCTGTAAGGGAAAAAAAAAAATAGAGAAAGCTTTATGTAACAAAACAAAACAACAAAACCCAACCCCCTGTGAGTCTACCGCTGAACAAATAGTCTTGGAATATGACCCAACCCAACGAAAAAACACAAACTCTATTTTTCTAATAACCTAATAAAATTGCACCAGAAAAATGAAGACTAAGGACCACTGATCAGAGATTTTTTTTTTTGTACAAAAAGAAAAATATCTCAAGAGGACATGATATTTGARGAAAGCAAATTTCTTTTTCTAATATTTCTTTAGTTTTCAATGGGCCTTTATTTTCTTTATTAATATGAGGTGCTGAGAATCGAACCCAGTGCCTCACACATGCTAGGCAAGCACTCTGCCACTGAGCCACAACCCCAGCCCAGGAAAGCAGATTTCTAACCAAGTAATGGTGTGGGAGAGTTTCCCTTTGGTGTTCAAGTCCTTGGAGAACAACCTGCTCCTACCTAGAAAATGCCTAAAAGGACTCTGCGGTGGTTTTTCTTTTAGATTTCCCTGCTAAAATTATTAAGTGCTCARAAGTAGTCCTGAGGAAACAATCTACATTTGGCAGAGAAAGAAAGTTTTGTGTTAGACACTGATCAAAAACATGAGGGTTAGAAGATAGCTCTTTAAAAGAGGGCTGTGGGAGTTTCCTTCTTAACAAGAAGACTTATAGTTCCTGTACTCATCACAAAGAGGCAGGTGATAACAGAGGGAAAGGATGTTCCCCAYATTTCTGCTACATGGTCAGGACAGCATATTTAAAAACCTGAAACTGTTGTCTTCTTCAAATTCCCTGGAGTCCCAAATACACCACCAAGCTCATCTTTGGTATCAAACTCTCTCCCCCCCAAAGGAACATCTTTCTCCCTCTGTGGACCTTTCAGAACCTATCTGTTCTTCAAAGTGCAGATCAGAGTTCTTCTGTCTTGTACAATCAAAATCTTTTCCAAAAGTTTCCTTAAGGATATGTTTTGGATCCTAGTTTAAATAACATTAAGAAACCAAAGTTCTAGGCTATGAAAATGTCTTTGAAGTACAAACTATTTCTGAAAATGAAAAAGGTTATATTTTAACTGATAAAAATATTGTTCTTTAATTATCAACAAAGGAAAAACACAATTTAAACATTCCTATTGAACAGATGCACTGTTAAGGCTGTCCTCCAGCTCTCTGGGATCTAAAGACACAAATTATTACATCTGTGGTCTATATGCGCAGTGTCACTTATGGTTAGTGATAAGTTTCATGTAATTGTCTCTATAAAAGTTAAAGAGAGTATGTCTAGTATTGCTATCTTATTTCCATCACTGCCTCCCATTATCCCGTAGGTAAGAAACTCAATTAACACAATTTTTAAAATTTTATTGCGGCTCACTCCCTCCCAGCTGCATATCAAGGACTTCACCCTGCTTGCTCAGCCTCAAGGACTTCCTGGGCAATTCAGGTTACCTAGTGAGGAATAACTTCTTACACAGGCTAAAGCCAAGAAACAGTATGGCTGCTTACATCCTGGTGATGATCCAACTACCCATAAAGCTGCAGCTTCACCAAAAAGATTCTGTCTTGGGTCCCTTTCCCTCTACTTCAAAGTCTTGCTTGGATGCGTACAAGCCTAATTTTTTTTAAGTATATGTCAAAAAAAATTGAGGTTCTTCTCTAGATTTGTCTCCCAGCTGGCATCTGACCTTGTCATCTGGCCCTTGCCAAGTCTTTCATTCCTCAAGGCTGGTACCCTCTCTGTTCCCAAGACAAATGTCCCTTTCAGCATTTGTCTGACTACCAATTTTAACCTTGACAGCAACACCATACTAGTTTGAGATATAGCTCATCCAGCTCCCTTGGTGGACTGAAACTAAGAGGACCCCTAGATTTAGTTGCTTCTTTTCTGAACTAATTTATCTCCAGTTGGTTTTCTGTATTGAAATTTCAGCATGTCTTGACCAGTTTTCCCAAATTAAATATTTCAATATTGAGGAAAAAGGGAAAATTAATGGATTCCTAAGACTTTCTAGTGCTAATTATTTTAATGGCAAAAAATACCCTCAATGCCTAACAGGGAGAAGAGTTGAATAATCAACAATATATCATATGAGTGAAAAGAATGCAACCATTTAAARTTATATTTTGAAGAATATTTTATAGTATAAAATGCACTCATATAACAAACATTTTAAAGGTTCAGAGGTGGGGYTTTAGGCAGTGATGAGGGCTATAACCTCATCAGTGGATTAATCCATTTGATGAGTGCTAACTGTAGGCAAGTGGGCATGGCTGGAGGAGGTAGGGTCATTGGAGGTGTGGCCTTAGAGTATATCTGTCACTGTCCCCTTTCTCTTCCTCTCCCTCTCTCTTTCTCTCTACTTCGCAACTTCGATGAGTTGATCAATTTTCCTTTGCGGCATCCTTCTGACATGATGTTTATGGACCAAGCCTCTGAAACCTCTGAAATGGTGAGCCCCAAATAAAATTATCCTCCTCTAAACTGTTTTTGTCAGGTATTTTGGTCAGTGAGGAACAGCTAACACATCCACCCACACACAGGTGCTCAGGCCAAATTCCTGGGAGTCGTTATTGATCTCCTTCAACACTAGCACCTCTTTCTTCATAGTATCCACTAACAAACCCTGTCAACATCTACTCCTGACAGATTCTCAATCTGATCACTTCTTGCGATTTCCACTGCTGCCTCCCTGGTACAAGCCAGTTTCTTCTCTTCCTCCTATGCCTATTCTACAACAGCAGCAGTAACAATGGACTGGAAAAAGTTACACCAAAAATTAGTAGTATTATTGGGGTGGTGGTATTACCAGTGATTTTTAATTTATCTGTCTCCTACAGTTTTTATTTTTCATAGTTTATATATGAGTTATTTTTTTTAAAAGAGAGAGAGAGACAATTTTTTTAAATATTTATTTTTCAGATTTTGGTGGACACAACATCTTTATTTTTTTTTATTTTTATGTGGTGCTGAGGATCGAACCCAGCGCCCCGTGCATGTCAGGTGAGCGTGGTACTGCTTGAGCCACATCCCCAGCCCCAGACTAACTTAATATGTAATGTTTGAAGACTGCAACATTTTTCTTACTCTGCTAARACATTCTGATAAAAATGTTAATTACACATATTTATCCATTTCATACTTTATGCATCTGAAAACTTAAAATATCAAATATAATACCATCCTTGATGTGAATAAAAGTAACAGAATGGTTACCAAAAAGAAAAAAATCTTCAGATGCTTGCTGAACATGACTTAGAAAATAATACTAGTATGTTCATTTTTAAAAATTTAATTACTAGGATATTTTCTTATTTGAAGTGGTTCTGTTTATTGCACAGGGAAAAAAAMCCCAAAATTCTTAACAAATAGATCTGGGTATTTTATTCATTAAATAGGTATTAAATGCATACAGCATATCAGACATTTATGCAGTGGGCATTCATTAGTGTTAGTCACTGATGTTCCAGTTTGCCTTTTTTCAAGAACATGGAGGGTGGCTCTTCCTCATCCCCATGAGGGTATGTGTGGCTACATTCTTCTTTCAATCAAACTTGAGAGAAGGAGACCTGTCAATTTCTAGCTGAAGCATCAGGAGCTGAGCATGGTTCACCATCTCCAATCCTCCTGTAGATGATTAGCTTCTAAACAAGTTTGTGGAGGCTTTTTCAGCCTACACCCCCCCACCCCCAAATGAGGAAGACATGCACCCTTGCCAACTCTGAAGATGATCTTCAGTTACTGAGATTTGGTCGTGTTTATTCCTTTTTTGTTACTCTAAAGATGCTATATTCACTAAGTGCTTGCTTACCAAGCTCTGAGCTAGGCATTTGGAAAAAGAYGGTACAAGATATAACTTCTTGTTCTTACAATGCTTACAGTCCAAAGAGAAAGTTGCACATAGGAGTAAATGATAACCATTCACACATGAATAAAGGATTGATCAACAGATGGTAAAGAACATGGAGTCGGACTAATCCAGTAAGAATGGCAGTCTCTGGGAGGTAACTATGGAAAAAATGACAATGAAGCCAAGTCCCAGTGAACCAAAGAGGATTGGCAGGTTTTATCCAATTATGACATAAAGTCACTTTCACATCTAAAATTTTGTGAATCTAAGAAAATAAGCGAAATTCCAAGCCCACTTGAGGTGGTCTAACCTCAGTGTGGTAATTCAACAAGGCTCCTGACTATGACATAATAAAAACAAAAATTGTGTAAGAAACAAGCTAATTTCTGTATCATGGTTCTTAAACACCTAGGAATGTACCTCTCCTAAAATGAACTGTATTTAATAATCATGTGTTACTCATTTTAAATCTTTTTCCTTCCATCTTCACCACCTGGATCCTCATGGGAACAGAGCTAAATTAAATAGAAGAGGCATTCCCATGGGGCAAAGGCAGCAGGCCAGAGAGCAGGCAGAGCAGATGTCATTAGTCATAATCCAAGCACTCAGCCCAAGCTCAAACTTTTACCCATTTATTACAGTAGTAGAAAATTCAAGGGTTTAACCCCTCATATGAAAATGCATATGTAAAACTTTTGATCCAGCAGTACATGATTTGGATATCATTTTAGATGATGAGATGTATTAATACACTTGAACCTGTTTGAAATTGCAAATGTTATTTCATCACCTGAATGAAATATTACCAAGCTCTGTCCCCTCTTTATTTGTACTAATAAAGCTATAGAATAGTAAACTACCACAGATTCCCTAACATTTGTCTTCTTCCCCTGCTCACACATGTCTTTTTCTTTTCCTAATAAAAATGTATAATTACTAGGGCAGTTTCATTTTCCAAGCAAAACACAATATCAAAATATTACAAACTAGTATAAACTGAAAGAAGATCGGTTCTATACTCTAGGAAAGAAACAAACAGAACATTTACAAATCCTAAGCCACATCTGAGAGAYAGCCATGAGACATTTTTCAGCCATGCATGTTTATTGAGAAAAGTTACTGATGACATAGATGAAAGGA